TGTTAAAGTCTCCCATTATTATTGTGTGGGAGTCTAAGTCTCTTTGTAGGTCTCTAAGGACTTGCTTTATGAACCTGGGTGCTCCTATATTGGGTGCATATATATTTAGGATAGTTGGCTCTTCTTGTTGAATTGATAGGGTGGGGAACATCACACACCAGGGCCTGTCGTGGGGTTGGGGGAGGAGGGAGGGATAGCATCAGGAGATATACCTAATGTAAATGACGAGTTAATGGGTGCAGCACACCAACATGGCATATATATACATACGTAACAAACCTGAATGTTGTGCACATGTACCCTAGAACTTAAAGTATAATAATAAAAAAAAAAATCCGTAACATAAATGATTTTATTTAGAGGAGAAACTTTCAGAGAGAACACTAAGAAAAATCTTTTGTATTTTCAGAAATAACTCCATGCCTCTTCTTCCTACCTCTTAAAAAGGAAAAAAAAAAGTCCTTGGTTTCAAAGCGGCTCCCCAAGCTCCATTATTTTCTTATTTATTTATTTGTTTATTTATTTTATTTATTAATTTTTTGGAGACAGAGTCTCATTCTGTTGCCTAGGCTGGGGTGTAGGCGCAATCTCGGCTCACTACAAACTCCTCAAGAGATTCTCATGCCTCAGCCTCCCAAGTAGCTGGGATTACAGGCATGTGCCACCACGCCTGGCTAATTTTTGTATTTTTAGGAGAGGTGGGGATTCACCGTGTTGGCCAGGATGGTCCCAAACTCCTGGCCTCAAGTGATCTGCCCACCTCAGCCTCCCAAAGTGCTGAGATTACAGGCATGAGCCATGGCACCCAGCAAAGCTGTGTTACTTTTTAAAGGCAGGCTATATAATCATTTGTTGCTACCATACTGAGCCTATGCCACTCTGAAAGGATTAGGAGCTAAAAATTAACAGGAACCAAAAGCACCAACATTATAGAGGGCAGATACCATACTTTATGATCTACTAAGTGAATTACACCTTCACTCCAAAAAAAAAAAACACAAATATTTGATCTTCAAAACATGAACAGAGGTGTCCATGGGTATCAATGAAATCCACGCAACCTTTTGGATTTCATTTTAAACCTTACATTCAAAACCAGAGTCACACTGCCCTTTCCTATCTATCCACAAAACTCTCGTAGACAAAAAAGAAGCAAGCAAAAAATAGTATTAATAATAATCATCATCATCATCACAATAATGTAAGTCAAATATAATCAATATTAGAATATCTGAGGTTGGGTGTGGTGGCTCACACCTGTAATCCCAGTACTTTGGGAGGCCAAGGCAGGAGGATTTCTTGATGACAAGAGTTCAAGACCAGCCTGGGCAACAAGCAAGAACCCCATCTCTACAAAAAAATTAGCCGAGTGTAGTGGCATGCACCTTTAGTCCCAGCTACTCAGAAGGCTGAAGCAGGAGGATTGCTTGAGCTCAGGAGCTCAGGAGTTCAAGACTGCAGTGAGCCATAATTGCACCACCATGTTCTAGTCTGGGCAACAGAGAGAGACCTTGTCTCAAACACACACACACACACACAGACACACATACACACACAAAATAAGACTGTCTGGATCATTTTCTCCTAGCTTCATTTTGAAACTGAAAAAGGCTGGAAATTTTTTTCCTGCTCTTATAAAGACCTACTAACTATTTATTGTAAGATATGAGACTAGTGTTCTACATATAATAAATCAAAGAATGGCAAAGATAAGAGAATCATCTCTATACCTAATGAACATGAAAACAACACTGTACCTTCTGTATCAGACTAGTGCCTCCTGCAAATGCAGCTCCATTTTCTTCTGCTATTTTGACCTCTGATGCATTCTACCAAAACACACAGTTTGAACATCAGTCATTAATTTTAAATACATTCAGTCTGCTTTGAAGTATGTTGTATCACAGTTCAAAGTACAAATTGTAGCTTTTGTTTTTAATTGAAAATGTGGGCCGGGCGCGGTGGCTCAAGCCTGTAATCCCAGCACTTTGGGAGGCCGAGACGGGCGGATCACGAGGTCAGGAGCTCCAGCCCAGGCAACAGGGTGAGACTTTGTCTCAAAAAATAAAAATAAAAATAAAAATAAATAAAATATGAAATTTTTTAAAAAATTAAAAATGTAGGCCGGGCGCGGTGGCTCAAGCCTGTAATCCC